TCTTTCCCTTGGCATTCACCAAGTGGCCTCAAACAGCTCTGTCTCTCCTGTACCTGTTTTATCTAGGTTTATTTTATTGCTGACTGTATTTGGACTTTTTCCTGGCCCTCCTAGGGGTGTGTGACCAGAACCACGTCAATGACCTCACGCTCCGTGACGGCTCTGTCACTCCTGACAGCAGCCTGTTCATCCGAAACTGGACCGTGGAGGAGCCAGGGAAGATCTGTGAAATCCGGAGAGAAGAGAGATGCTCAGAGCACGCAGCCAGCCACTGCCACCTCCTGCTCTCCCATCAGTTTGCAGACTGCCACAGGGTAATCTCCCCAGACGTCTTCTACGAGGCTTGTGCAGAGAGCAGCTGCTACGAGGATGAAGCCTGCGAGATGATCAATTCCTACGCTCACATCTGCAGGGAAAACGGGGTCTGCATCGACTGGAGAACACCCCAGTTCTGTCGTAAGGGCTTTACTCTATGTTAAAACAGATACAGAAGCTGTCTTGCTTGGAGAGGGTTGTGCCAGTGGCCATCTTGTTGGTGTAATATGGATTTTTGAATTTCTGTGTAATGGGGCAGAAGTTCCAGATCGAGTTTTCAAATCATATTGCAGATCTGATAACTGGTTTGTCATCCACTGAATTGTGTATTATGGAAAAAGTGTTTCTCAGTAAACTGCTAACTAGTAAAATGCAAGGTTAGAGAGATTGCCTAGGAAAGAAACGTGCTGTGAAAGCTGTGTGCAGGTAAACACAGCTGTGGGACAGCACCTGCCTCTACAGTCACTGAACCATTGTGGGGCCAGGTGTGGATTGAGAGTCTGCTCTGATTCAGAGAAGCAGTTTTACCTGCAGATATCATTGCTTTGGTACCTACATCAGACAATCAGTACAAGCTGGACAAGGAAATGAATAATTTGGACTAGTAGAACTGACTCCCAGCCTGTCACTATTGTAGCTGCAAAGAATGGCACAAAAAACAAGACTTCTCTCTCTCTATATAGTTTCACAAATTCCCCATATTCCAACCAAAGCCAAAACCCTTCAGACCATGAATGAAGAGCTAAATTTCTACTGCAAAGCGAAACAGGGAAATGGCCACTCTCTGTAGTGTCTTTTCTTGCCAGCACCTGCCAGCTACACCAACCAAACCAGCTGTAATTTGCTTTGCAAATCTGGTTCTCCTGAATGTGTATTGCTTGTGTTTTGCAAGTGAAGAGTTTATGTGTGAGGAGGCAGAATAGCAGGATGTATGCAAATTGCCCAGAGCCCAGTAGAAGGAGAACAAGCATGCTAGTGCTAAATTCAGGCAGTTTTGTCTTTGTATACCTACTCCACTAAATTCTTCTAGATGTGAGAAGTTCTGGCAAAAAAGCAACATATAGTTAAGTACAAATAAGTAACTCTTGAGATGGCTTATTTTATACCTTCTCCTCTTAGCCTGCCTATAGTGATGGTTACAGACTTTCAGATATTCACTCACGTTCTGGTTTGGTCAGGTATCTGAGATGTGTGGGCATTTTCCTTCCCAGCTAGCCCAGTGTGTAGTGTCTTGATATCCCAGCTGTTTTTTCTCGCATCTCCTGCCTCTCCAGTATAGTCATTCCTTGTTGCCTTGCTTTCTTTCCCTCTTGCTGCCCAAATACTTTTCAGAAGTGAAGAACCAGCATCATAAAGGCATGCTAACACAAAAACTTCCTACACATTTTGGTTTTGTTCATGTTCTAAACTGAGACTGAAAGAATGATGGGATAGGAAGTCAAGAATCTGAATGTGAATTTGGCCTGAGTCTCCAGTTAGTCTCTAAAATGTCTTTCCATGTTGAAGAACATGATATTGTTGCAGACTGATCTTTTCAGAAACAACACAGTCCATTTGGAGTGTAGTCCTGGAAAACAAAGGGAGAAAATATCCAGCCATTTCCCAAATTTAGTGCTTCAGTTAGACTTTGCAAACTGTAATGCCCAAGGCTAGATATCAGTGGAGGACCTTAATAACTCTCTGCAGTTTTCAGATTCCCAGCTTGTTACACAGGGTGTACAAAGATAGAGTTGCCCATTTTAACACTGGTTGCATCAAACAGTCGGTGGTGTCCTAACAATAGCTTCATCTTTGTCCTTCAAGCAGATGCGTGTGTGAAACTGCCCAAATAAAATCGCCAATTACAGGGACATTATACAGGTTACATTAATGGCTAAGTAGACAGTGCAGCTTAATCACAGTTAACCCTGTATGTTTCATAACAACGGCATAGTTGTGGAATACCTTACTTCCCTACCCCCATTCCAGTGAATCCTGTCATTTCTGTAGGGTTTTATTTGGGATTTTGTCATGCTGTATTGGAGTATTTCATCGTTCTGCTGTACAAGTCCTTCCTGACTGCTCTGCCTGGATGGGTGAATACACTCACTGGAACGTCTGATAAAGACTGGTCTGTTCTCTATCCTGTGCTTCTTCAGTTCCACTGCATGAGCTTTTCTTGGTCCTTTCTGTGAGGGTGAATATGTTCAGTGGTAGCTGATAGACTTGAGCTTTGCATCAACGGATGGAAGGAAACTTTACTCCAAGGTAGGAATCTGTAGTGAGGAAGATTTGTGGTTTTTTTATCTCCCCTCCCCAACCTCATAGACTTAAAATAGACTTAAATTGCAGCAAACTGTAGCTTCCACAGATAGCCATGTAACCCTGAAACACAGAATGCACCTCTTGAGGAAGATTGTGGTTTTTTTTTTTTTTTTATCTCCCCTCCCCAACCTCATACTTAGTAGACTTAAATTGCAGCAAACTTTAGCTTCCGCTGATAGCCATGTAACCCTGAAACACAGAATGCACCTCTTGAGCAGGCTCACCCTTGAAGTGAATGTTTGCTGAGTAGGGTTTCCACTTCAAGGACAGTACAGGCTTTATCCTAATGTGCAGATGACAAGGTTTCCTAAGAAATCACTGCATTACTAACAATGACACAGGCTGGGATTCAGCTTTGTGTGGAGAGGAACCTTTATTCATCCAGAAACAGGACTGTTTACATAGTGATTAATGAAGAGGCTGTGATATAATCATTCTGCAGTTACAAAAGAAATGGCAGCTCATGTGGTGGTGACCAAGTCAGCTTTGAACTGTGTTGCTCAAGTAACAGTTGAAGTTAGCAAATTTTGCTCTGAAAGGAGAAATTCTCAGAAGATAAGTGACAGCAGCAGCAGTTATTAGTCTCCATAGGATGATGTTTCCATGAGTGCTTCTCAGCAGCTTTCTTAAACTCATTTATGTGCAATGTGGACATGTCCTATAGGTACTTGCCAATACTAGCTTGCATTGAATTAAATTTAGATAGGTAGTTGATGTTTGTGTGAAATATGAAACAAACTGCTACTTTGTACTGCCCACTAAAGCTGTGGTTTTTTGAGGAGGATGCTGGTGGCACTCAGCAGCTGCAGGGATTCTTGGAAAAATATTTTGCTTGAAAACTTTTCTTCATGAGCCATTCTGATTGTTGGAGGGTTTTGTGTTTTGTCTTTCATTAGGCTGTTTTGCAGGCCCAGGTTAGAAAGCAAATGGGTAACAGATTGTGCCTGCCCAGCTGAGGGGCAGTGACATCTGGCAGAGAAGCAAGAATGAGGTTCAGGAGGAGAAGAGAGAAGCAATGAGATACAAGAAACCTTTAAACAAGCTCTGCTAATGAAGGATTTGTGTAGTGGGGCTACACTGAGCTTGCCCTTTGCTGTTGTAAGCAAGGCATGCTGATGAGGACCACAACAGCTGAAGGATTTAAACAGTGACTTGGAAATCAGCAGTATGGGGGTGGCTTTACGACTGCCTTCAGCTGATCTGGGACAGTTTTGCTCTTCCTCTTCCACCTCCACCCGTGCATTCCCACTCTTTTTGCTGTGATGACAGTAGCCCTTTCATGCTGCATAGTGAGTTGTGAAAACTAGCTGTAAAATGGAAAAAAAATGAGATATTTTTTCTCTCTCTCCTTTGATGAGGAGATTAAGGAAGAATGGGGTCTGCCCCTTTTGATGGCAGCACTGATCTAACTTGGTTTAGTGTGTCCTTGAAACCACTCCCAAGAACATTGGGAAAACTCTCCTAAATAAATTCCTTTGGGTAAAGAAGACCATTCAGGGAGTTTTAAGAGAACTGTGCCTGAGCAATGCAAGGATGTTGACTGGAAGCAGCTGAGATGTTGGCTCTGGTGCATTATTCACTCCAGCCTCACTGGCACTGGGGTTTTTGCTGTCCTTTTTGCTGCACATGACAGTACAGTGAGGCACAAGTCAAGCCAGAAGTATGTGACCTCAGCAGCTAAATTTGTGCTGTTACACTGATAAGAAAGGAGTGATGTTGACTGAAAAGATGTCTTTCTCCATCTATCACAGGGTCGAAAAACACCCCTCTTAAATACCCATTTAGTACTTTAACCAAGGATGTTGTGTCTTATCTGTTTGAACCACGAAGTCAGAGGACCATTCAGGGAGTTTTAAGAGAACTGTGCCTGAGCAATGCAAGGATGTTGACTGGAAGCAGCTGAGATGTTGGCTCTGGTGCATTATTCACTCCAGCCTCACTGGCACTGGGGTTTTTGCTGTCCTTTTTGCTGCACATGACAGTACAGTGAGGCACAAGTCAAGCCAGAAGTATGTGACCTCAGCAGCTAAATTTGTGCTGTTACACTGATAAGAAAGGAGTGACGCTGACTGAAAAGATGTGTCTTTCTCCATCTATCACAGGCTCGAAAAACACCCCTCTTAAATATCCATTAACCAAGGATGCTGTGTCTTATCTGTTTGAGCCACAAAGTCAGAGTGATAGGAATCAGCATTAATCTCTAAATTAAATTAATCTAATTTTGTGCAGAGGTTTACTAGGTGTGCTTTAGGGCTAGTGGTAAGTAAGCAAGGTGAAAAGTAGTGTGGTGAATGTATTTACTAACATTTGCATAAGAAAGTAAACTACACACTCCCTTAATAGATGCTGTTGGATGTATTTTCACACAGCCATTAAGGCTGACATGACTGCTCAGAGGGGTGTGTGTCAACAGTTCAGCTGAAGAATACTTGTTTGGTTGGCAGCTCAGGTCTTCAGTAATTTTCTTTCAGTGTTTTTTTGTCAGGAGCCTGAAAAAAAAGTTTTATAAACCTCTCAGCAGTCACAAACTGTGAAATAAGGAACACTTTCCTAATTGAAGCTGTAGAGAGAAATAAAGTAGACTTAAGAGAGTACATAGTATGGAAACAGTGTCCATAGGTTTCTTGAATAGCTGTAGCCTTAGTTTTCTGTTTGCTTTTAGAGGCAATACCCTCAGTGTTGTGAACTTATCAGTAAAAAAAATGTGTGTTTGCTTAGGATAGAATGTAAATTTCCTTGATTCAGCTTATTCCAGTAATAAGGCAATTCACTTAAATAAAGTGCAGAACTCCAGCAGGTTCAGTTTTGAAGCATCAGGATGTCTTTTTTTTTTTTTTTTGATAATAGCTCTAATAGACATAAAGGTGGTTCTAAATCCTTACGTCTCTTGCCCAGTGTTGGAAACAAAGTAGATAAGATGCTCAGCTCATGTAAGCCATTGTATTGTTAGTGAGGTAAGGCCATACTTGGATGATTCATGTGGCCTGAAAGTGGGGCTTGATGATTACTGCATGGATTGTAACTTAAGCAAATGTTTTCAAACACTCTCCACTGTGGATTTTGTTAGTTTTAACAACGTATTTTCAAAGATATTAGTGGCTGCAGAGGACAAAAATATGTTCATCAGATGATGGCTTTCAAAAGCCTGAACAGAATTCTAACAAAAGCGTGAGCAGAAACATTTATCTGCATTTCAGATCTCTCTTTCTCAAGAGATTTTTTTTTTCTCTCTTCCCCAGCAATGAAATGTCCCACATATTTGACATACGATCACTGCCACAAAGCCTGCATAAAGTACTGTGAGAATAGTACCAAACTCAGTGTCTGCAAGGATTATCCCACAGAAGGCTGCTTCTGTCCAGACGGACAGGTGATTTTTAATGACAGCTGTGTTGATGAAGAAGTCTGCACACAATGCATCAGTGAAGATGGCACACCCCATCAGGTGAATATATACTTAGCAGCTTACCTTTGTGAGTGCTTGGGGTTTGTACTTTTGCAAGTAAATCTGCCTTATACGTCAAAATGTTTTCCCCTTTGGCTACTTTATTTTCTAGCTCAGTTCCCCATAACCGGCCGGCTGTCAGCCCCATGGAGCTCCCCTAGTGTGAAATTGGCTGGGAGGGATATAAAATTCACAGCTGGGACTGTACAGACCCGGAAATGCATGACAAATTTGTGGGGAGGGAGGTCTAGGGGGAAGAGAGGAGGGTTGGCATAAGTCAACACTCCCCACGATAAACACCTCCATTCAGCAGGCTGTTACTGGTAATGACAATTGAATCATCAATCTGAAACCCTCACTTAAAATGTATTGTACTGTCTTTGCAAAGCTTACTGAAATATTTTCAGTGGTCAGTGGGGAGCAGGGAGACCAAGAAACCAAGACGACCTTATGCCAAGTTGTATTAGCCTACATCCTTTTTTAAAAAATTGAGAGTTATTCCTTCGATTAAATTAATCATTTTAATTTTACTGAAAATCCACTTTTCTCAGCTAAATCTGATCTCTCTGTGGTAGAATGGGATTGGGAAGAACTATGGCTGCTAGACACCAGACTGCAGTGAAAGACTGTTCATTTCCTTTTCAGCATCACACAGCGGGTGTGCAAGCTCCTCCCTGTGTCTCCTGTTCCAAGTACAGGGTTTTCCCTCTTTACCCCCAGCTACTCAACTCTGAGAATTTTCATCTATGTCGTCCAGTCCTCTTAAATCTGCAGTTTTGTTATAGGACTTTAAGAGAAGAGGCTTTGGTTTCAGTATTTTATGGGCTTTACATTCTTAAAAAGTTTTTTGGATGGCCTTATCACACGCCCCAAACCTGCTATCAAGGAGGTTACTGTTTTTGTAGCATAGATCTTCTGTAAATAACATAAGTCTGTATGTGTGTGGATAGCCTATTCTTTAAGTAAAAAGATAGATATAAAAATATAAATGAATGCATGTACTCTGAGTAACTCCATTTGACCCACATAAATTTAAACTCATGTCTTTCAGCAAGAAATGTCTTATAAACACTTACAGTTAATCTGAAAGGAAGCAAAGACTATTTGTAGCTGAAACTCTCTCAGATTCTGTTTCCATTGATTAATAGAACAACAAAAGATGGTCCAGGAGCCTAACAGCATTAAGCACCCTCCTCTGGCATACCTACCATATGGATTTTGGCAATGAGAGGGAAAACATAGGGAAAGTCTGTTCTTCCATTCAACAACTGCCTTATCCAAATGACTTTTTTTTTAAAAAAAAAAAAAAAAAAAGAGAATTATTCCTTTGATGAAATTAATCCTATAAAAAAAACAAAAGTTTTTGAAAGGTTGAGCATGTGGACCTTGTTTTAGCTTTTATTTTAAGGTTACGGTATCTCCATTAATATGGCCATGATATATTTTTTTTTTTTGTGTGTGTTCTATTTTAGATCTTTGTTTTAAATACAGTATCATTGGATTTTTGTAATGCTTATTGAGTTGGAAAAATGGAAGGAAAAGAACCCCCCAGTAATTTTTGTAATAAAAGGGATAGAAAAAAACCCCACCTTATTATTATTTCTCTTGAAGGAAAAAATAGCTTACAGTTTATATAATGACTGCCTCGAACACAGATGAGTTGTGCACAACTCTTGGTGACCCTGACAACTCTAGTTATTGCATTATGATTCTATATGAAATTGTTATTGCAAATGCAGATTAAAATCTAAGATATGTGTGCCTCAAATCCATGACTCCTCAGGCAACGCAGTGATTTTCCATTGAAAGAACTGTTTCAAGCCCTTGTGGAGAAAAGCTCAGCACACATCCTGGCAATAATGTCTGCAGTGCTATCTATTTGCTTCTGCAGAAGTTCTGAAATTCATGAGTTGTCACATGCCCCTTAATGGGGTTTTAACTCTGCAACCCTCTCACCAGCGCAGCTGCTGTGGGGATGGGGAGGTGGAAGGCAGGGGAGGATCAACTCACAGCCGTCTTGCGTCTCCACCATTGCAGGATTAGCTGTGTGAGCAATACAACGGGCAGTGCAACTGGTGGTGGGTTATGATTTCCTTAACCCCCTTCTTTCCTTCTGGTGTTCATTCCTCTGCTCCTTTCTGCCCCAGATCCTGCGTGGGCTTATGGGATTCTCAGCACCAGTGCTCATATAGAGCTCTACTCACACTGTGCCGTCTCTTGTCAGGTCTTCTAGTATTAGGAGGAAAGTCCTACTTATGCTGGAGAAGACCTGTGCAAAAATCAAGGCTGTTGAAAATGTTAGAGCAAATGTTGTGATTCTTTTTCTCTGTCTTGAAATGTCCACATGCTTTTCATATCACCGCTTGCAAGTGCAGGCATTCTCTATCAGCTGCCTTCTCAGGACTTTTTAACCTTGAGGCCATTAAATGCTCTGACAGAAGGCTCTGAATTGTTTTTCCAAGCCCTGACATAATGTTCTTTACTAGCAATACATCAATGCAAGCTTTCTTGGACTAAAATAGATTTCCTATGGATTAACTGACCCTATGCGATTTGGCTCCTAAGCTTTGTTAAACCTCTGATTGGCTTGTTCTAGCATGCCTGGTGTCTTATCCTTGCTGTGCTGTTAACCTCTGAAAGTAAACTGTCTTTTCAGAGTCCTTTGATGGCTTAAAATACATAGCTATCTCTGGGTACAGGTGGCAGTGTGCTTAGGTATTTCCTTCCTTCCTTCTTATTACTAAAGGTCTCAGCAGACTTATTATTAAACTGCACTCCAGAGTATTCTGGATGACACTTTTTCCTTTTGTGGCATCCTAACCTACTCTAAAGGTACTCACCCAGAACCTGGATGGATTGAGCCAATCCATGTTATTGTCCCATAGTGTTTCTTCTCACTCTTACCTCTCTGTTCAAATCAGTGTTAAAGGAGGATGGTTCTTTATAGGTAATTACGTCTTTAATGTCAATGATTTCTCTCTCACTCATGAGAAAGAGCAGTGGCTGACTGATTATACACTCCGCTGGCAGTTTCTTAATGTGCTTATTACCTCAGCACATTGATGGTTTGATATTTGGGGCTGCTATAGTGCTTTTCCAGTCTTCAGTCCACTGGGAAATCAAAGGATGACACCCTATATAGTCTTTATTTAAAAAAAATATGCATGGTTTATTTCTCTGTGTTTAAGTGCTACTATTTTTGGGAAAGCAGCCACTTCTAGGTATTTCCCAAAACTATTGTTTCCATTATTACTGCTGAACATCTAGTCAAGGTATGTAGTTGCACAAGCCCACTGCTACTCCCAATAGCCTGCAATTGTATTTATAACATCTGAGCATTTTTCATGCTTAAAACAATAGTAATTCCTTAACCCATTCATGCATTCTTTGCATCTTTTGCTAAATTAGTACACTACAGTAATTTCAAGATTGTGTCTCCTTAGGTTCTGACTGTTAACAGAGCAATGAACCAATCCTGCATAGTCTTCTGTTTTTCCCCATCAATGTTACCCACTCCCATTGCTAACATAACCACGGCCAGAATATTTGATCTCTTTCTAACAGTATTACTATTTTTTTTTCATTCAGCACATGGAAACATGGATTCCTGCCAACGAGCCTTGCAAGATCTGCACTTGTCTTGATAACAAGAAAATAAGCTGCATGGTCCGACCTTGCCCTACTGCCAAACGTAAATTGGTTTAGATCTAAGTATGATTGCACTTGAATTGACTGTTTTGTTACCCAGTTTTCTAGTTCTTGTTTTATACAAACTTGTTTTATGGATGTTTTCTTCTTAATCTAGCTGTTCAGTGTGGTCCCTGTGAAGTCCCTCGTCTGCACAGGGACTCTGGCCAGTGCTGCCCTGAGTACGAGTGTGGTAAGTTCTCATAAACTGTTGGAAACCTCTTTTACCACATGCTTCAAAGATACACAGTCTCCTTTTTTTTTATTTATTTAATGTAATGCTTCATTTATTGAAACCACCAAATGATTATGTAGTCATTTGTGTGGAAAAATAAACAACTCCTGGGGATATGAATCTCCTTTCACTTCCAACTTGACTTTATCTCTCTAGAAGAGTGGAGAGGATGGGAACAGAGCAATTTGTTTTTATCTAAATGACATTAGAATGGTCTTTTTTTTGAGTATCTATTTTTTGCATGGTCTATATTTGCACATTAAATATAACATTAGAACCTTAATCCTCATAACCCAAGCTTGAACTGTTCCCTAAGCTATTTTGAAAACAAACTCTGACCCGCTGAACTCTAATTTAGTTCATGTTTTAGTGTAGGGAAAAAAAAAAGATTAATGAAGACTTGCCTATGTGTATGTTTCTTTTCTTGAGGACTATCTAGTCAGGTGTGGTCTTAAATATTCTCTCAATTTCTCTTAGTCTGTGATCTGGTTTCCTGTGATTTGCCTCCTGCCCTTGCCTGTGAGTTTGGCCAGCAGCTTACTCTGACCAACCCTGGGGAATGCAGACCAAACTACACATGTGGTAAGCTACTTTTGGTTTTTTAGCAGGGAGTGACACTGGAACATTGCATCTGACCAACACTGACAACTTCCTTTAGACATTAATTTTCTTTCTGAAGGGCTTAATCTTGGAGCCAATGGACATGTAATGATTTCACAGACTCAGAAGGAGGGTATTGTTGGCACTTTCTGAATACACTTTCAAATTAGGAAGAGAAATACTTTACTCTTGGACATGTGTAGTCTGACCTTTATGCTTGTTTTACAAATCTTTTAGGTTATATACGAGACAAGAATTTTTTGGCAGAGTGGGAACTTTTCCTGAGCCTGCAGCACAACCTTTGACCTGTGTCTTTATATTTTCATTACTTCTTAGTCTTCAAGTAGATTTATAACAATCTGCAGTAGCAACTAGTGCCTTGCTGCCAGAGAACAGTCTTGTTCACTTGCAGCACTCTGAAATGCCATCTGCTTGATGCAGTGCCTACCTTTTTCTGCCAGCATGTAACAAAGAAGCGTGCAGCTTAGTTCCAAGACCCTCCTGCCCGCCCCATCGAGAGCTGACTGTTAAGAAGACCGAGTGCTGTGATAGATATGAGTGTACCTGCAGCTGTACCAACTCAACTGTGAGCTGCCCTCTGGGTTATCTGTCCAGATCTTCCACCAATGACTGTGGCTGTGTATCCACCACCTGTGTTCCAGGCAGGGTAAGGGCAATGAAGTCTCATTTCCATAGATGAGAGTTTCTTTTGTTCATGGGGTGACAGCACCAAGGTAAGCAGGTAGCTAGCTATTAACAAACCACAATGAGAGTAGCAAGTAGTGATGCCAGGGAATTTTTAATTTACATGTGTCTGAGAAAAGTAGACAGTTGTATCACACTGTTGCTTGTTTTATTGTGGTCACTTATTCTCACCTAACCAGCCCATCTTTGGTGACTTTGAGATAATTAGATTTTTTTTATATATATGAATTCCCAACCCATTTGAAACTTCAAGGCATTCAAGTATTAGGAATTTCAGAGGTAATTTTGAATTTGTTTCTGGATAAGAGGTACATGGTTTTGGATAGTACAGTTAAGAAAGATTACACAGTCTATTAAACCTATACTACCTTCATTGAAGTATTTGGGACACAGTAGACTTTCTTTGTGCCCTTTGATTACCCTTGCCTCTGCCAGTGGAGGCATTTTATCTTACATGAACTGTATTGCCACTTCAAAATTGCTACCAAATTAAAATTTGCCAGATTGATTCTGTTTAAAGCTTCCCTATTTTGCTGACTTTTTATTAAGTTGTTACATGATGTTAAACTTTAAACTGAGGTTGCTCAGAGGAGAGGTTACAGAGCAATGTGATCTTTTCAGTGAAGCAACCTTACCTAAAAGCTTAACACAGGGTTATGCTGTCTTGCAGTTCAGGAGATCTAGCCTTTATTTTCTGTTGCTAAGTAGCTCATGACCCTGTATAAATCATTTTATGTCTCTGTGGCTTGCTGCTATATCCATAAAAATAAATTATGTTCATCTCTTTAAGAACATGCTGAAAAAATTACTCAGAGAAAGTGCAGTGTAAGGTATGGCAATACTTTTGTGATAGTTGTGATGGCCTAAGGATGAAAAGAATGAATGCTTGTACCTCAAAGTAGGAGCTTTTCAGATCAGGTGATTTAGCTGGAACAAGTTTTGTGTGCAGAGTTCCTTCTACAGCACTTTACTGTTTATTATATCTAAACATTGGGTCACATTATACTTCCAGAGAAACTGAGTCAGACCCTGGGAAACTCTGTGGGCTGCAGATAAATAATAAAAATAAATAATTATTTTTATATAACACAGTAGCTTTGATTGCACTTACTTTCATTTTGTCAACAGCGTGGCCACAATTTTAAGCTCTGTAGTATTTCTATTGGGTTCAAACTATTTAATAAAATTTATGGTAGGTTTCACATCTTAAAAAGCAGCATTTTGGACCCAGTAATCTGCTCTTTCATGTGTTAATTCTTGCATTCAATAGGTGTGTGTGCACAACAACATAGTCTACCCCGTTGGGACAACGTGGGAAGATGGCTGCAAGGAGTGCTCTTGCACTGGTGTGAGGGATGATGTTACAGGACTGCAGATGATGGAGTGCCACAACAAAGCCTGTAACACGATTTGCTCTCGGGTGAGTAACGTTTAAATCAATGCATTAGTCAGTAGAACCCTGATGGGGGTCTGACATGATTACTTTTAAACCTGTTTAGAGAAACCAGAGAAAAAATAGAAAATAAGTGTTGTAGCAAATAAATGTCTTGGGAACAGAGCCTAAGAGGGTTTGAGCATTACTGGCTCTGTTTTAGGTTTGTTAGCTTATGATCCAATTTGTTTCCTATTGCCAAGGAAATCAGTGACAAGTTTCTTTTGTATTTCAATAAAAAGAGAACTACATCCTGAAATATCTATAATTTACACCACTTGCACAATAATTCCTTGTGTCTGAAGTTCAACTTCAAATGACTAGTCTAGCTGAAGTTCACTTTCTGAAGAGAACATTTCAGATGTTTGTTGCTCAGCTCTGTCCATTATGGCACCAATAACACCACATATTGTGGCCTTTATTATGCTCAGACATCTGCTACACAGTATAAAATTATGTGGTTTACTTTTGGAAGCCCACAAAGGAGGTATGAGCTGCTTTGCTATATCAACATAGCTGGTTGAGCAGGAGAGGACAAATACTTGGTACAAGAAGTTGGTAGAAGAATTCTAGAAGAGTTAAAGGAGTTGGTTAAAAGCCAGTAGCAATTGCCAGTGTCATAGATTAGAAGACTTTGACTGTAACAAGATTTGTGCAAGCTAAAGTTCAAAATGGTTTTTAGGCTTGCTTTAAACTATCTAAATTAGATCCCTAACATTCCTCATCTCAACATGATGTGGAGAATAAGGAAGTAAAAAATCACTGTAAAATTAAATGTGATGTCCTAGAGTTGCATTTTGTTTTGGTATCTAGTACCTTGTACCCATAATCCCTGAGCATCCCCATGTCCTTGCTTCATGAGGTGGGCATGGATGGGTCAGTCAGGGAGGACACTGGAAGTGCACAGCTTGGGTCTGTCAAAAAAGTGGATAGCAGAAAAGGTTACCCAGTCTGGCCAAGTGCTGACACCCCCACCCCTTACCAGCTGCCATGTGGCCAGAGAAGTTGTGTCCCAAATAACAAAGCCTACCACAAATACATTTTGCTTCTTTGTAAAGCTTTCAGTATACACAAGGGTTAATTGAGATTGTTCTTGATGGTGTTTGTTAGCCAACTCCACTGATGAAAAGGCACATCTGACTTGAAGCAGCTCCTCCATAGTCCATGGTATAGTGAGTTCACAACCTGCAAGTTTAGTAGGATGTGCAGGGTCCACATGGAACAGGTAGATGTAGCTGTCTGGGATTCAGAATATTCTCTGCAGTGTTTTCCCCATGGGTTTGTTCTTTCCCAAACTGAAGTAAAGCCCAGAAGAAGCTAATTTATTTTTTTCCTCAGTGCAAAAGCAAAGATGAGCTAGTTGATGCTATTCAAATCTCCAAGTTGTTGTTAAACTGTTTATATTAAAATGTTAATATTGCATTATCCCCCACAAAACTCAAACAACTGACCATGCAGCAAGCATTTCCAAATGTGTGTTGTAACATCAGCACTTTCAGTGGAGCAGTAGCTGATAAAAGTTTGGATGTTCACCTGTGGCTGCCCTGGTGCCATTACAGGTGGCCAGCTGGAATTTGTCAGTGGGGAATGCCTAGGAGGGCATACTACAGCAGTGACTGCAAACCCCTTTAGCTAAGAGGGGCAGGTGCTGCTTCTGTGTTTGAGTCACTGTGCTGACTGGGATGCTACTGTGATTTTTTGGGTTTTCTAGTGCTGCATATGGACAAGATTCACTTGCCTTTTTTTTTTTTTTTTTTTTCTGCTTTAGTAGTAAGGTTTTTGTCTTATTGGAAATCTAGTGAATCTCCAAACAAATATGTCATGCACAGTCCCTTCATCTGCCAAGCCTGTTCACCACTTTTCTTCCTAAACCTTATAACTGATTTTAAGATGTCTACTTTTTTTTTGGTTTGTTTTTCTGAGTCCCCTTTATGCAGTTGCGTTCAGAACAGAGGCTAAGAAAAATCAACATATATCTCTTCTTCCTCTTTGCTTTTGCTCAGTTACATTTGGAAGAAGGCTCTTCATCAACAAACCTTCTATGTACAGCTATGAGGTTAGAGGTCTTCATTTTACTGTTGGGAAGACATCATTAATAATGTGTCTGGGAGTCAAAGACTGGCCTTGGGCATAGGGCATATATGTGCAGCACCTCACAACTGAGTTAACATTTTTATAGAAACCTCATGTTTCTAAGCTTATTTTAAAACTTATTTCTAAAATTATTTTAAATTCTCATTGAATTTACACTAGGATATATTTTAAAGCAGTTAATTGGGCGTTAAAATTTGATGATGAACTTTTCGTTTAAGCAGTCCAGTATCTGAAGAACAATTCTCTTTTCTGAACTCTGTTAAGCTAATTGTGCCTTGCTTCTCAAAGGATTTCGTATGCCTTAATACCACTATATTTCCATATTATTTAATGTACAACCTCTTTATCTAAACAAGGCTGGACAACATATATGTGCACTTGAGAAGGTGTAAACAAAATGTATTTTTTTTTTTTTAATAATATTTTCCTCTGCTGTGTCTTAAACACTGATAATCCTCTAGGACCAGAGGGAAAAAAATAAAAAGCAACAATCTATTAAAAAAGATAAAACCAAACAAAATACCACAAACCAAAAAAAACCAAATTATTGCTCTTTCTGCAAGTGTAGCATTTGGTGAGAAAGCTTGAGGATGCCCAATGCAGTGAAAACCATGAGGGTAACTTTGAGAGCTTTTAGCAGTTGCAAGAGAATCCCTTCAGTTTCCATTTTTAGAAAAGACTTGTTTCTAGTATGATGATTATTACAAAATATTAGGTCTGAAGTATGTGGCTGTGTTTTGGCTCATAGCCATAACTTTGTTATTCTAATAAAGTATCATTAATGGAGAGCTATAATTTTTTGATGAATCAGCCTTAAGCACTGCAGCGTTACAAAGTTTTTTTTAAAACAAACAAAAAGCCCTGGTGGATACCATGCAGATCTTGGGAATCCACCATTTCTTCTGCTCCTTTAGTGGTTATTAAAGTTGTACAACCAAAACTGTAGTTGTTGGAGAACCTGGATAGCTCAGATTTTCTTTTTTCCTTTGCTTCTTACTGTTTGAGTGGATATATACATCAAGGATTGCAGAAGTTCTGTAATACAGTTTAAATTGGTCTTAAATCTTATTTTTCAGTTCAGATTGGATGGCTTTGTCTCCAATGTCCATACAACTTCCATACTTTAATAATGTTTCATTACTAAGTTCATGTTCAAACTCTGCTGCTCGTGGTTATTAATTACACTGGATGTCTTGATAATGTGCAGTATCATTGTTGACTGTGTCATCTGACTTACCTGAAAACAGCTTGCAGTTTTTAATCTAGGTACACAAAAAGCAAAAAAAAGAAGGGTAACACATACTGTCTCCTTCATCCTGATGAATGAACAGTGCTACTGTTCTCCTGAGAGTGACAAAATCAAACTCAAAATAATATCTGTAGTATTAGCATGTAAAGAAATGCTATGGAGATAGAGTGGACGTTTCATTTTGACCCAATTCCACTTACTGTATGTCACAATCCCCTCACTTTTCCTGTCTTCTCTTTCTTTAGCCAAAGCTTGGAGAAAGCAGGCAGATAATTGCTGCAATTATTGCATGTGCCACAAGGAGGGGTGGTGTCTCCCTCCTGGAGTTTCTTCAGAATTATTTCTCTGAGAGTACATCAGACTACATCCCCTCAGGGAATTATGACGATGAAAAGGATAACTGCTTTGAAAACACCTTAAAATCTTTAGTACTAATGTGAAGGAAGCACTGACTTTGCTTAATTTCTGTCAGTGTTCTTGGAGTTAGGTGCTTTGTAAGTGTTATAAAAGGATGTGGTTTAAAGTATTGGATAGTTGAAAATATTAGATGATTATGAGAAGAATGAAGCATGATTTTATGGGATAAGTATTTAAGACCAAGCCACTTGACTAAGTCAGTGTAAATTAATTAGGTTAGATTTTCAAGCCTCTTGATTAATAAAATTAAAATAAAGAACATTTGCACTATCCATGCAAAGTCATAGTAAATGATGGTTGTAATAGACACTGACTACAAAAGCTATGGCTTTTATCTTCAGTATTTCAACTGATGTTTTCCTTTGACACAGCACATAAAGTATGGTTGTAAATGGCTTAATAGTGTATATTGAGGAGGTCAAAGCAACTAATGTAAAAGGAAGAGAGTTGTTTGAGTATTAAATGTGCAAGATCTCCTTTTAAAAACAGTGAAAGTCTTATTGGGACACAATTTCAAACATCCTGCTTGCCTTATACTGCATAATTTATTATGGAAATGATACCTTAATGTTCTTGCAAACAGAGAATTAAGTTCTCACCTGGGGTAAATGAGTGCAGCTCCAGGAAAATCTCTAGAATTGTGCTGATTCATCCCCACTGAAGATTTTGCTTTCAGCTTTTCAGGTGGATTCAGATGCATCCTGTTGGGTTTTTCTCAGTCTACTGTTCCCATTTTCATTCTCTTTGTTTCTTCCAACACTTTGCAGGTACTATAATCTCAATATGTGAAAGACACATACTGGAGACTTCTTAAAAGTACTATGATGAGTATTAATCTTAATCTTTGTCCTTTCTTTCCTCCTTTGTTGCCCAAAAGGCATCTGTCAGAGTTTTCTGGCCCAAGCGTTAGCACCTGTGAAAAGATGAACTACGTACCCTAAGCAGCACTAGAATGAAAGAGTGCACAAATATGCCAAAGCACAGCCTGTGCAGACCCCTCCAGTAGCCTTGAGTAGGCAACGAGACCGAAATGCACGTTCTCTGAATGCTACAGAATTAATCTGCATTCCTCTTTTGTTTAGTGGCAAGACAAGCTCCAGTTCAAAAGCGTGCGAAATTCCCCCCCACGTAGAATGCCTTAATCTGTACACTTTCACCCTCCTTGCAAGAGATCAGCTTCATCTCAGCATTTGTGTTGGATGAAGCACCCTGATCTAGCAGTATAACTGAGCACTTGTCGAGTTCTCCATCACAGCTGCTGATGTCCCAAGTCTGCCACGTCCACCTGTTCAAGTGTGAAGGGTGCCTTGTGTTGCCTTATCCTTTTACCTCACAGGGCATGGGGATTTTTTTAATCTTGTAGGCTGTGATGTGCCTCTCAGTGTGATAGACAGTCAGAGACTTACTGAAGGCTGCTTCTGAATTCCCTGTTTGAAGTTTGAACTCTGTGTTTAAAAAAAAAAAGAAAGATGTGCAGAAGGAATAAAGCAGTGGATCCATTCCAGATAAAGCAGGGGACAAGCAGAATGTTGACTCCAGCATTCTGATGGATTGGATCCCTGAACAAACCATGACAAACACTGGCATCCCTACATGCTAGAAAATGAAAAATAATGAAGAGGTGGTTACTGCCTACTCTGCCTAGTTCAGTCTAATGTTAGTGTTCAACAGCACAGTATCTGAGCCTTGCCAGATATTCACAGATGTCAGCTGAGGAGTAATAGTGGTAACATACTCTTTCATGACAAACACTGGCATCCCTACATGCTAGAAAATGAAAAATAATGAAGAGGTGGTTACTGCCTATTCTGTCTAGTTCAGTCTAATGTTAAGTGTTCAACAGCACAGTATCTGAGACTTGCCAGGTATTCACAGATTGTGCAGCTGAGGAATAATAGTGGTAACATATACTCTTTGTACCTAAGTCATTTAACTGGGGAAAAAATCAACACCATAATTAAAATAAAATAAAAAAAATAAAAAAAAACCCCACCAAAACCCAAACCTCAACCCCAAACCCAAACCACCTCAAAATGCACAATACTTTTTCCTTTTCTTAGATGTAACCTTAAACATTACTACCTTTAGAATTAAACATAAAATAAAGCTTTAATTGTTCCTATGGCCCCAGATTTGCATGGTGTGAGGTGCAAAATGTGTGGTTTTCTGATGGGGAAACATTTCTCATGCTGTGACAACGGAGAATCACTGTCCACCTCACTCCTCAGGTACAGATAGATGCTCTGCTTTTTGAGGAGGTTGTAGATTGCTGCAGTCTGCAGGTTTATCTTCTGAAACAGGCTTTTAGTCTGCTGTGGTGGTTCAGGGACCTCAGATGCTTCAGATGCACTTTTAGCAGGTAAAAGACACACGAATCAAAATGCTCAGCAGCACAACTTTTCCCACAAAGCTAGGTCAAACTCTGGTATTACATTCCATGACATACAGAATGTGCTTCCATATGAAAGTCTGCTAATTGTCAAAATTTGCTAATATGCTTCATATTGCAAATCAAGGCTAGTTAATGAAGAGAGAGAGCAGCTGGGAGTATTTCAGCAATTCAACTCAAAGGGATTGACCAAAACAAAATTCTGCTTATTTTCATTGACACTTTGTCACATGAACAATATATTCTTTGACAGAACATCTTTCCCTCAGGCTCTCTATTGAAATCAGCATTATGTTTTTCCCTGGGAGACTGCTTATAAAGTGTTGAATATATTATTTCTAATTAGATTAAAGCTCTGTGCTTTGTTTTGTGTAGATGCTCTAGTGTTTGAATATTTGGCTAATTGCTTCATGAGATGAAATGATGAAATTATCAGTCAAAACTGGTCCCTGGATTATGTCTGAAAACCCCTTCCCTCTGCTTCAGCACAGGATATTCAGATGTCTGAATGTGCTCACACTGAATCCTAACCTTGAATTCTCAGGAGTGGGAAGGGGGGAGTTGTGAGTGCTGATTAATGTCCAAGATGCCTTTAGAATAATTTTTACCTTTTATTTCCTTTTGTAAAGTAGTATTATACATATACATAAAATTTTTTTAAAAGCTAAATAAAATTATTCATGATAATTATATGATAATTATATTATGATAATAAATAATTATTATGTATGACCCATATGTAACAACAAGAGAGACTTTAAAACTGGTTTCTTAATGTTCATATATAATTTTCTCTTAAAATCTACTAAATAGCATTCTGACAATCACCCTTAGAAGTCGATATTTCTTTTTCATTTTACACCCCTTTGTAAAGCCATATTATTGGAAAGACTTACTCATTTGGAAATGGGTACTGCTTAAATCTGTTGAAATATCTCAGGGTCCTCCCAAAGCATTTTTCTTTAACCTTTTCCCTTTCCATTTCTGCCCATTTATGCCATTGTTCTTTTCTGTCTTGTGGCAAACCTTTGTGCTATTACATATTTGAGCAGATCCTAGCAAAAGGAAGGTGATTCTGGATGGTTTCAGGTTTCTTTCTTTCTGTATTCCAAGAAGGGGTGCTCTGTACCACACTAGAGAGATCCTCACAAGGCTCGTTAGTTGATTGGCATGCCCTGAGCAAGGGCAGTGCCTAGAGTTAGTCCATGTAACCTAAGTGAATATGAGTTCAAAGCATACATTAAACAGGAATTAATGAGATAAGAGTGTCTGCCTCTAATGTGTGCATTTTAATTCATTTTTTTGGACAGACAATGTAAACCATTCAACAGAATGCTGAGCTGGGTGAACCAGTTGTTTGTGCTGCAGTATCAGCCTGTGGCCTTGCAGATCTGCTTTCAAACTCCCCCTTTCCATAAGAAGTTGCTAACATTAAACTTTTATCCCAGTGTTTTCTTTAAGGATTATCTTCTCATTTGTTTCCTATTCCTGGATCAGCAAGTCCTTTTCTTTCGTCCTACAGGGTTACAAGTATATTGTCCAAGAAGGAGAATGCTGTGGGAGATGCCAGAAGACTGCATGTGAGGAGCAGCTCTTCTGGTCTCGGGGTGATGCAGATTCTCGTTTGCATGAGGTGAGGTGGGGTGGACACTTCCTCTCCTAGCAGAAATGCCCTGGAATTATTTTGTGTTCTGTGGAAGGAGTTGAAGAAGATATGACCTATTTCTTCTATACATCAATCGGTGTGACTTCTAATCATCAAACTCTCACCACCCTTTTTGGGCTCTAAGGAAGCAGTATTTTTTTTT